CCGACCGAAGCTTCTACCTTGACGTGGTGGTCAGACTCGCCTATCGTGATGACCCAACCGAGCTATACTGGCTGGAACATATGTTCCTGCAGGTACTATCATGCCAGGCTGGTCGATTGGAGAACGATGAGACTAAAAGCAGCTACTCAAGGTCTGAGGGCGAAGTCGTACTGCTGACTGCAGAGGGGTGTGACAGCAGTAAGGTGTTTCTCTCGGACAACCAGCATCTGCAGCGATGCTGCCTTCTCACAAGGAAGGAAGGGTTAGAAAAGGTCGGCCCTTAAAATGTCACACCTCCCCTACCTCACGGATTTCCGTCTCCCTGGGTAAGGGTGCCCACTAAGGACCTTTAAGAACGGAGCTAATCCTCAAAAAACATTTCATAAAAAGGCCGTGCGTGACCGGCCTCAAGCAGTTGTCCCTTGGGCTCTGCGGTCACGCACCAACACTAATCTATCTTCCTTTTCAGGTCCCTCAAGAAACAACCTTCCACGGTGTGGGAAGCCGGGAAGTGACAACCGCCCTCATACCCGTAACAGCACGCGAGACCAAGTTGGTCAAAATCAAATCCTTCCTACACCCGCTAGTACCTCTCTTATCTCCACGACTAACTCTTCTCACATTCATTTATCACAGTGCACAGCTAATGCAGACGAAGCGAGTTCGCGAAACGTCGTTCCTGGTCTCCTTAAACCTCGCTCTAGACTACATGTTGGAACATTTAATGTACGGACATTGTGTCAAATAGGGCAACAGGCTTCCTTAGCTAGGACTTTAGAATCTCGCGCCATCGATGTATGCTGAGTCTCGGAAACGCACATACAGGATCCTAGTAAAGTCATTAACCTGATTCCACCTTGTCAAAATAAAGAAGCAGCTCGATTTACTCTTCGTGTATCCGGTAGCCCTGATGCTGCTTCCAGGGGTCTTGCTGGCGTAGGCATAGCATTGAGTCGTAGGGCAGAATTATCTCTCCTTGACTGGATCCCAGTATATAGTCCGACTAAAAGGGACAGTAAGGACTCGGAAAGATAGGGACAATCGCCGTTGCCTCTTCATCGTATCTGCCTATGCCCCCACTGACTGCAGTTCAGACGATGTGAAAGATGAGTTTTACAGAAAGCTTTCGGACCTCCTCCAAAAAGCTAGGCACTCTGATCTAGTAATAATGGCTGGTGACTTTAATGCTCAAGTAGGTAGACTAGGTGAGCAGGAGAGGCACCTAGGTGGATGTTATGGTGTCGCGGCTCAGAGAACAGACAATGGTGACCGTCTGTTGCAAGTATGCTCAGACAACCGCCTATTCTTAGCAAACACTAACTTTAGGCATAAGGAAAAGCATCTGTTGACCTGGCGACCCCTGAAGTCGTCTCAACTTGGACTCAACTAGATCACATCGCCATCAGCCACCGATGGAGGGGTTCGATAGAGGACTGTCGCTCGTTCTGGGGCACATGTTTGGATTCAGATCATGCTCTAGTTTGAGCTCGTATCTGTTTAAGGCTTACTGGACGTAGGAAAGACACCGTAAGGAAGCCTCTTAGCGTTTTACTTAATGATAACCAAACCAAGAAAATATTTCACGAGCAACTAGAAAGAGAGTTAAGCAACCATGCAAGCGATTCCCATCCAGAAGCAGGTTGGTATGATATCAAAAAGGCTGTGGAAACAGCAGTGATATCTGCTAGGAAGGTAAACCATGAGGCTAGGATGAAGTCGTGGATTTCAGTCGCATCCACCGAACTGATGGATGCTCGAAAACGCATCCCACCTGACTCTGAGCATGATAAAGAGCGTAGTCAGCTTAGGCGCAGACTTATAAAAAGTCTGCGTAACGACCGCGAACAGTGGTGGGTGGCGAAAGCAAAAGCGATGGAAAAGGCAGCGGCGATAGGCAATACTAGACAACTTTTCCGCCTTATTAAAGAAACTGGTATTAAGAACCCGAATGTGAGTGAGACTATTTCGGAAAAGGATGGGATTATAATCCATTCTCAATCCAGGAGACTGGATCGATGGGCAGAACACTTTAGGGATCAGTCCAACTGGCCACGAGCCACTCTTCGGTTACCCACAATCTCCAGTCATCCTGAATGGCAAATCGACGTAAGTCCCCCTAGTCTTAATGACGTTGAGAAAGCGTTAGGAAATCTGAAACGAGGACGAGCTGCGGGTCCTGATAGATTGACCCCTGAGATATTTTAGAATGGTGGTCCAGTGTTAGCAGCTAGGTTGACTGAGATCTTATGTAGAATCTGAGAAATGGACGTAATCCCATCCGACTGGTCTCAATCACTGATTGTCCCAATCTATAAGAAAGGACAGAAGTCTTCTTGCGGCAATCACAGGGGAATAAGTCTAACTAATATAGTATCTAAAATATTGGCCTCAGTAATACTTCAACGCTTAACGAAAGCTCGTGAAGAACAGACTCGAGGAAACCAATCTGGTTTTCGACCTGGACGTGGTTGTATAGACCACATCTTCACACTACGACAGGTCCTGGAACACAGACACACATTTAGGCGTCCTACAATAGTTGTTTTCCTGGACCTTAAGGCGGCATTTGACTCTGTGGATCGTGAGGTTCTGTGGCAGTGTCTGTCATTAAAAGGCGTACCAAATAAGTACATTAACCTCATACAAGCTCTCTACTCAAACACCACTGGTCGAGTGAGAGCTTATGGCCAACTGTCACCGGAATTCTCTACATCAAGTGGTGTCCGTCAGGGATGTCCACTCTCTCCATTCTTGTTTAATTTTATCATAGACATGCTCCTAGACATAACATTATCCTCGTCTGAATTTTCTGGAGTAGACCTTCTACCAGGTGGCTCGCTTATTGACTTAGAATATGCCGATGACATTGTCCTACTTGGTGAAGACGCTGACAAAATGCAGAGTCTTCTGACCACCCTAAGAGACAGTGAAAGAAATCTCAGCTCGGATACAGAAGGCTCGATTGGCTTTTGCCAACCTGCGTCACTTATGGCGTAGGCGTGATATCCGTTCTCTAATCAAAAGACGAGTGTACTGTGCAGCAGTTCGCTCCGTTCTCCTATATGGCTGTGAAACATGGCCAGTGAGAGTAGAAGATATTCGTAGGTTACTGGTTTTCGACCATAGGTGTCTTCGAAGCATTGCTCGTATACCGTGGGACAACCGAGTAAGCAATGCTGTCGTTAGGAAACGAGTAGTAGGTAAGGATGGCAGATCATTCGATGAAGTGGTGAAACTTCATCAGTTGAGGTGGTTGGGACATGTGTTGCGTATGCCCAACCACCGACTGCCTCGTCCAGCTTTGTTTTGTAATGTAGGAATAGGTTGGAAGAAAGTTAGGGGCGGCCAATCCAAAACGTGGCAGAAATCCATGAAGTCATTGACGAGTGGACTTAGCCATGTCGGTAATTGTCGACTACCTGGTTGGGGTCCGCGGGATGATAATAATCGATGGTTAGAGACCTTGAATGACATGGCTCAAAATCGTTCGCAATGGTGCCAGTGCATTTATTCTTTGTGTTCTCTCAAATCCTAATCTTCTGGATTCTTCAACACCTCTAGTTTCGACTCTCTAAACTTTTCTCACTGAATCATACTTCTTGAATAGTATCTTCTAATCCTAACCTCTCCGATTACTTCTAATTCCCTTACTACCTCTTCTACTATTGGATTTGAATTGACGATTACTTCTCTGTGCTGATGTGGTATGGCAACATGAACTGATGTACTTATGTACAAAGTTCTACGTTGCATCTGACTGACTGACTGACTTTAGGGTCAACTTCTTCCAACCCCTTCCTTCCTTGTGAGAAGGCAGCATTGCTGAAGATGCTGGTTGTACGAGGGAAACATTTTACTGCTCTCGCACCCCTCTACTGTCAGCAGTGCAACTTCGCCTTCAGACCTTGAGTAACTGCTTTTAGTCTCATTGTTCTCCAATCGACCTGCCTGGCATGGTAGAAAGCTCAGGATCATGTGTTCCAGCCAATATAGCTCGGTTGGGTCATCACGATAAGCAAGCCCGATCACTATATCTAGGTGGCAGCTACGGTCGGGCAAACGGTAGTAGACTTATCGACTCGTTCTATGATGTTGGAGCACTCTATAAGTTCCAAACAGTTGGAGACAGCTCAGTCAGTTTCATAGCCAGAAGGTCGTCACTCTCTTTAAAAGCGGTCAAAAGTTAGTCATCTGATTATGGTGATTTGTGGCTCTTGTGCCTCGCTAGGATGATCAGTCATCAATGGCTGTGAAGGATAAGACAGCCTGTCCAATTTCTCCAGGGCAAAAGACCAGTTTAACTGTTCCTCGAAAAACGCTATTGTCCATGCCATCGGTAAATGTTATCCACCGGTGTCCTGCTTATATGCACGGAAGTACATCGTGGCTCATTTATATTTTATCATAGGAATTAATGGGTACAGTATGCCCCACTAGGTGTACAAGAATAAAGAAATCACACTGAGCATAATCATACAATGAACGGTAGATGGCACAGCAAACAGTGTGTAATCAATTGGCAATAATAGTAAAATATAAAAAAGTTAGTAGATCCAATGAAAGTTTACAAAAAGGATAACGTAGAAGGTGTAAAAATAAAGCTTTCTGCTAATTAATTGTGCAGCAAAAATATTAATAAAAATACTCTGAAAAATAGAGCTGAGAATTCAGCTTTCCTACTGTTCGTTTCGTGATAATCCATAGTATTTCTTAAATATATTTAAGGTCATTATTAAGCTACATTCACTTATTGGAGGCTGTGGTTTGGGGTATGTTGCTTGGATACCCAAGCAACCTATCTCAATACTTTAAATATCTTAGCGATGCACTATTAAACCGAATAAGGGGCTGTACGAAAAAGTCAACTTCATTCAATCAAGTTCTAACATTAGGCTGGTTGCATGGGTAAAAAATTTCTATAATATAGATTTCCCTATAATCTAATTTTTGAATTTGTCTAACAAATGACAATACACTGGCTTTCAGAATATGTTTTTATTATCGTTTTAAAGTTCATGAAAGTTTGAATGACATATAAACAACAATTTCATTCCAAAGATCTACACAAGTGCTGTCCCATTCTGTCTATGAAGTTACTTTGTTCTTTAGACTGATTTCGATCAAAAAAGCATGTGGCTGATGTGCCGGGATCACACAAATTAAGTCTAGATCTGCTTATCAATGAAATCAAGCCAATATTTTATTATAGAGGTTTTATAGATACTCTAAAAGTCTGAGAAGTGTTGACTGTCAAATCATGAATTTTTTGGTTATGGTTAGTGAAACAATTGTAATTAGTGGTTAAACATTTCTCATTATGTTACTAAGTTGTACATCATTTTTGTAGGGGACGTTAGATCCCCAGAACTCACTTGGAAAAGGTCCCAATTTTGACATTTTATTCTGAAATTTTGAATTTTTATGTTCTAGCGCCAAGAACGCTTAGTTAACCTTCAACTCATATTTCTCACTCGGAAAACCCTTGACAACCGTTGGCTGATGGATTATCTTAGTATGCTATTTTGTGGCTCTCACCAAGGGTGGTTTATCATTGCATAAATAAGCTTGAATTGTGCGCTTGTTAGTTAGCAGGGCCCGGGGACGGTTGGATTAGAACAGCCTATCGTGTGACTGCATCGTTGATCTTCGTCCGTTTACCGAGTAGGGTGAACTTGTAATAACTGCAAGCATATCAGCTTTCTATTGATTAACTGAATACTCTACCCTTAAAATCCAATTGTATGATTAATCACAAAACATGCTTAACTTGATCTCTTTCTTAGAAAGTTAAATAGGAAATATTTCAAGAAACAATGATATATTTTTGACCTGAGGAAACAATTCAAGAAAATGAAATGTATCAATGAATTATTCGGTTATTACATCTTAAAACATACTTTCGAATGACCATGGCTTATAAACAATACTTCTTACTTTCCTGACTTCCTGTTATAGGATATCATCAAAATTATAACACAGATCAACATACGGTGTAGAAACCATAGCTATGTATAACTGTTCTAGCAGAAGTGTTCTACAGAATGTGATCTGTTGAGTGACTGGATTATTCGGGATCAGATCTAATACTTCTGAGATCAAATAATCGTATGCATAACAATGCCCGAAAATAAAAATCATGAACTGTATTCTCTACATATAGACTCAAATGTAAAAGAACAAGATTTAGTAAAAAAAATACTTGCCAATATTTTATAAAAATACAGTTTGAAATTGTAGATTGATGCGTGACAGACGAACTTATCTGAGTATATTAGAATATACATGGAAAACAATCATATTGTTCAATCTCTTTTAAATTACGGTTTTCTACCAGGAGTCATTTCTTCCATACACAAGCGCATCATTATCTTGACGGGTTTAGATGGATCGTAAAATTGATATCCTTTAGACCAGTCATAACCTGTTGCATAACAGAATACTTGACCTTTAGGGTCAAATACACAACAGGTGAGCGGCTGATCCGGAGAATCTGAAGAATGTAATTTGGTTCTAGCATCTTTATCCCAAAACGAATAAAATCCATCGGATCCTACTGTGGCTAATGTGCCATGCACTGGATGGAAAGCCATATCATTTACCTAGGGTACAATGAAACGTTAGGTAAATTACAAAAGCTGAGTAGTAATCTTGGTGAAAACTTCCACAAATATGGTGAAAAAGAATGTTACTAATGTCCTGATTTAGACTAGAATGTTGGATCTCCCTGTAACTATAAATAACGTGTATGCGTGTAAATTTGTTAAAAAAGCTAGATAATAACGCTCTCTAATACATCCATTCCGCTGATAGCTACTCAAATTACGAAGAGCAAAAATTATTGCTCTATAATGGTTTTCAAAATACCATGTTTAGTAAGTTTAAACACTAATATGCTGGAGCTCAAGTACATACAGATGAATTTCCTAATAAGATACTACCAGATAATATCTCTAAAGAATATATCAATCAAAATATTCATAGATGAAATGACAAGATAACAGAGACTGACCAATCTGAAAGAGAAACCAATAGACTGACTGGTTAATAATTCAGTGATCGAGATGGATATGGCGAAGCTGTATCAACTGTTGATTTATCGAGTTGACAACATGAGTCATTGTATCTCAACCAAATGGCTGTATGGTATTATGCTATGACTTGAGGATCCTGTGACCAGTTCACAATGGAACCGTAAGATTCCTGTACATCAGTTCCAAACTGACGTAAAATAGCAGTATGCTTCCGGGTTTCAATCATTTCATCAGGTGGAATCCATTTAAATAAAAACCATCTCAGGAAAATCAAATACTAAATATCTAGGATGAATAAGTAATTACGTACAAAGTGACTTCCAAAAATGAAAATCACGTTTACAGTATGAAAGGTAATGAAACCACTGGATTGTTTGGAATGTAATGTACAAAATGACCTATGACCTGCTTGATGCTAGATGAATGCGAAAACCAATTAAAGCAAACAAAATTAGGACTCATTGCATACAGAGATTGGAAATAAATATCTTCTAGTTTACTCGCAAGCATAAAAATTATTATTAATTTCATGTGGATTGCACAATAAACATTACTTACTGCAAAAATCTCATGGTAACCATTGATCGGCGCATTGGAACGATGACATTTAAAAGTGAAGTTATCTTTAGGCGTAGTTGGGTTTAAATACTGTATACCGACACGCCCTTCAATGCTGCCTAGAGCGAATCCACTAGGATTTTGTTTCTGCTTGTCCATAAATATGGATATACAACGACTCTGTCAACAGAAAAATTGGATTCTAATTTTTTGAGAACTATAAAACAATTATTCAAGCTTTAATTTTATCAAAAAAAATGAAGTCAACATGAATAAAAATATAACATGAGTACGAAAATCACGCTTAGCAAATATATAAACTTTTAGTGCCAGATACATTTCCGAATACATATACTATCACCCTCGAATCTTAAACACGCAATTGTATTAAGATGATTGATGACAAATATACACATGATCTTCGACGTTAAAATTCAAGCGAAGTAAGCCATTCACTGTGAAATAATGAACCGATACTTCATGTTTATCAAGATAGAAATCACATCAATCATCAAATAAACAACTGCTTTTTCGTACTACTATGCACTTAACAAAAGTAAGTCTAAATGAAAATCATTTAGCACTGCTAAAAAGCTTCTTTTTAAATTACATTCAAAATTACAGTATTATGCAACCAAGACAACAAACAATAATGAAACGAGAACAAAGTACAAGGTGAAAAAGAACTTGCTGCTTTGAGGCGTTTTACTTGATAAATATTATTTCGATTATTGACAGAGCAACATTTTGGCATCATTAACAAGTATTCCATGTCAAAGCAAAAATTTCAGATTTAAGGTTGGTAAACAACTAACTAATCTACCACTCATTACAAATTCAAGGAGTCTCAACCAGCTGCGGTCTAATGTACTCAGTATAGTTGCACAATGATTAAAAACTGTATAAATAGAAAATTCTTTTTGT